GAAATTATAGGCCAGATAAACCCCTTCCACAACTACAGGCTCTGCCTTTCCATATATATATATATATATATATATCAAAATACACTTAGAATGAAATTTTATAAACAAATCCATGTTCCCAGCACTCAGGTTCCCCGCTCTTCTTACTGCCCTGGTGCCAACTCCAGCCACAATATACAAAAATACGACGGTGCAAGATGTCTTGATAAAAGTGCGTGGGGACTTAAACATCAGCTTTTTAATGTGCTGAATTAAAGCATCAACTTCATTTTTAAATAAGACCCGTGAGTGCACTAGCCGTATTTTTGTACATAGATAGATAGATATAAATAAATAAAAATAAAATAAATATATATATAATAACATAAATCTACATGTAAAATTTAAATATATGTGTATTTAACCCTGTAACTTTCCAAAACACCATAAAACCTGTACATGGGGGTTACCATTGTACTCCAGAGACTTCGCTGAAAACAAATATTAGTGTTTCAAAACAGTAAAATGTATCACAACGATGATATCATCAATGAAACTGCACTTTTTGTGTGAAAAAAATAATAATATGAAAAGTCTGGACCTACCCCATTTTTAATATACTTGGTTGTCTACTTTTTCAAATGGTATGCCATGATGGAGTAATTTTAGTTTTTTAGACTGTCGTACAGTGTCAAAGACAATAATTGTCAAAATCTACTTACCGTATATACTCGTGTATAAGTCGATCTCATGTATAAGTCGAGGGCAGTTTTGTGACCAACAATTGTGAAATATGCTATGCCTCGTGGATAAGTCGAGGGTAAAACTTGGGACTATGAAATTCTGTGATTTTAGAATTATATACACACACACTCATACAAACACACTCTGCATTATATACACACACACTCATACAAACACACACATTATATACACACACTCATAAACAATCTGCATTCTACACACACACTCATACAAACACACATACTCTGCATTATATACGCACACACTCTGTGTGTATATAATGCAGAGTGTGTGTGTGTGTAGAATGCAGATTGTTTATGAGTGTGTGTGTATATAATGCAGAGTGTGTGTTTGTATGAGTGTGTGTGTATATAATGCAGAGTGTGTTTGTATGAGTGTGTGTGTATATAATGCAGTGTGTGTTTGTATGAGTGTGTGTTTGTGTGTGTGTGAACTGGGTGGAAGGAGGGCATTTTTATTATAAATTTTTTATTTTAATATTGTAAGTTTTTTTCTTTTCTTTTATTTGAATATTTAAGGTTTTTATTTTTTAATATTAAGTTTTTTCTTTTCTTTTATTTGAATATTTAAGTTTTTTATTTTTTAATATTAAGTTTTTTCTTTTATTTTATTTGAATATTTAAGGTTTTTATTTTTTATTATTAATTTTTTTCTTTTATTTTATTTGAATATTTAAGTTTTTTTTATTTTAATATTTTAATTTTTTTTATTTTAATAGTTTTTATTGTATTTTTTTTTTGTATTTTTAATTTAATTTTTGTCACCCCTCCCTGCTTGTTAGCTGGCCAGGGAGGGGGGCTCTCACTCCCTGGTGGTCCAGTGGATGGGCTGTGCAGGAGGGGGGGGCTGACGGTGAGAGGTTACTTACCTTCCTGCAGCTCCCTTCTCCTCCGTGCAGCTCTTCTGACAGCTCCCACTGGAAGTCTCGCGAGAGCCGCGGTGACCCCGCGGCTCTCGCGAGACTTCCAGTGGGAGCTGTCAGAAGAGCTGCACGGAGGAGAAGGGAGCTGACAGGAGCTGCAGGAAGGTAAGTAACCTCTCACTGTCAGCCCCCAACAGGACCGCCGGGCTTGTAATGAGCCCGGCGGTCCTTGTCTGTATTATGGCAATGTAAGTTGCCATAATACAGACAGTGACTCGAGTATAAGTCGAGTGGGGGTTTTTCAGCACAAAAAATGTGCTGAAAAACTCGACTTATACTCGAGTATATACGGTATATATCTATTTAATGATATAGCTTATAATCAAGTAAGAGTCTTGTAAATTTATGGGGCTACTTTTAAACTTCTTTCTCAATAGCAATTTTGTAAAATGAACAAGTTTATCCAACCGTAAAACTTTATTGATGAAGTGGATCATCTTGAGGTTAGCCAACAATTAACAATCAGTTACAAAAAGAAGGGACTTAGAGAGAAACTATAGTGCCAGGAATACTGTTGTTTTCCTGGAACTACAGCTTACCCCTCCATTGCACCCCCTCTTCTGTCACTGATCTAGGTCCAGCACAAAGGTCCCTTGGCACTGACTTGGGGCTGCCTTCGCTCCTCCCTTGTCGATGTCAACCAGCGGGTGAGACCTAATGAGAATGAGTGCAATGGCCATGCTTGCATTAGGATTTCCCCATAGGAAAGCTATGGGGATTCGGCTGATGCTGAAAGCCCTCATACATACCGTGAAGATGTCCAGCGTCAATTAGGTGACCAAATGTCAGCCCAGAAGGTAATTATTGTTTATTAAAAACTGCAATAATTGCAGGGTTAAGGAACTTGGGATTATGCACGCATACCACTTCAATGAGCTGAAGTGGTCTGGGTGCCTATAGTGTCCCTTTAAGCACACACATTTAGTGAATATTCTGTCTACGTCTTAGGGAGCCTTTAAAAAGAATTGCTTCTTAAAATTAGTAATAACTAAAACTAGATGCATTTTTCCGTATATGTATTCCCTATTTCATTATTGCTACTAAATGACTTACCTTTTGTATACGTTGCCAACAGCGTTGATTCCGTACACTGATCCATCTGTGCCAACTTCTACCATAATCATGTTCCCTTCTACCGCTTTCCACTCACGGCCTCTGCATTCATTTGGACTCACATTCAGACGATAAAAGATAGCCTTATTGCTGTTCACTCCCCAGCAGCCATGGAGACCACAGCTATAATACATTAAACTTCCCTCAATTGGGACGAAAGGGAGAGTCGTATCCGTGGAAAGAGTGGAATCCTGGTTCAGGCAAAAAATGTTATCACCACTGTTCACACCTCCCAGATATTTGTCACCTCCTGCATCCACCTGTTTAAGGCTTCCTACAAGAAAGCAGCAGCAGATAACATACAATTAAAGCATATCTAACGTTTACTACACTAAATGTGATATCAAAGCCCATATTATTATTAATGGAGTGACATACATATTATTATTAATGGAGTGACATAGATATATTAATAATTGTCAATTTAAAAGGCATTAATAAGTTGGCACGTCACACGTTACATCTTCACCTACAACGTTTTATCAGGGATCAATAAAAGTCCTTATTTGATCTGAAACTTTGCTGGAGGGTTCCAAATAAAAATGCTGTTTTGGGAATTTTTGTGTGTTATATCTTCTTTTTGGTATTGTTTCATCTGAGTAAGAATATCTACTCTATGGAAATGAATCCTGAGCTAGAAGAAAGATGAGTTTTAGAGAAAGATTTTTTTTTTTTTTTTTCAAGAACAGAGAGAAAGGGCTCTGGATCTGAACACTAAAGTGAACACTCTAACATTTAAAATAAATATATTTAATTGTACCATTGTCTTCAAATAGCCTTATAAATTTACACTAGTGATGTGTTATCAGAAATGGTACAAAAAACAGAAGCATTGGTAGGGGATAGAGCTTTAGGGGATAGAGCCCCTGATGTAGATTAAATCCTTCAATCCCTTCTGGATAGTACCTAGAGCAGATAAGCTGGCCTGTCCCATATTTACCTCTCTATAAGTGGCCAACAGTGTATGACACTATTAATTCCCTCCACCCCACTGAGATCTGCAAAGTTTTGAGAGCAGGTCCTGATTTCACTCTAGGTGTTTTTGAAGAAAGCGGTCCACTTACCTGCTACCTGCACCCAGCCGCCATCCTGAAACTTGAAGATGTTGTTCTGTCTGTTTGCACCCCAAATACCGCCTGGTCCCACACTCACATGTATCAGTTTTCCTGAAACATGCTCCCAGTTATTCCCAATGAGACGGAATATGTCATCAGCATCGTTGACCCCATAAACTTGTCCGGCTCCAGCATCCACCTGCCTGAGTTTCCCAGTAATTAGAGTACAACGTAGGCCTGTGTATAAACAGAAAGAGCTTTGAGTCTTTGCAATATGCATAACAAGAGGGAGAAAAATTATTTAAATGTGAGAAATTATATAGCTGTTAGTATAATAGTGAGTTTGACTGAATTTGCAGTTTGGTAGCAGCATGTGAAAATTGTTGTAAATACAATGGGATAAATATGTATGTGACATTTATTTCTGAAGTTGCTTTTTGCAGATATGGTTAGTTAGATATTGTACTACTCATGATGTACTAATTTTTTAGTTCTTGCTGACACTCCACCCCTCACTTAGATGTTTAGTAATGGTGATTTCTATTAATCCAAAATCAGTGGTGTACTGAGCAGAGGTTGGGGGGGCGGTCTGCTGGTGAATGACAGAAGGGAAGAACACTGCACAGCGCTCTCCTCCTGCCGGTCGCAAAATGTAGCATGGCCAAGCAGGTGGTCTGACAGGAAGTGCTAACAGAGAGTACAGAACTTCCTGTCAGAACAGGTACAGGAAGAAAAGGATCGTTCAATGCAGACCGATAAAAAGTGGAGGGAAGGGGAGGGGGTCTAAAGAGTGCACAGAAAGGGAGGGAGGCTAAATAAAAGCACAGGAGGGGATGGGGGCTAAAGAGGGCCCAGGAGGGAAGAGGGTTAAATAAGAGCACAAAAAGTGCAGGGGGCTAAAGAGAGTATATGAGGGGAGGGGGGCAAAAGAAGGCACAGAAGGTGAGGGGGAAAAAGAGGGAAAAAGTATGTAAGAAAGGGGACTAAAGAAATCACAGGGGTAAGGGGGGCAAAATAAAGGCACAATAGTAGAGGAGGACAACAAAGTGCACATGTGGGGTCTAAATAGGGCACAGAAGAAGGGGCAAAAAAGGGCACAGGGGGAGAGAGCACAAACAGTCACATAGAGGGGCTGGGGGAAAAGCACATAGAGAGGCTTAGGGCACAAAGAGATATACAGAAGGGCTGCGGAAGGGGAAAAACACACAAAAGGGTTGGGGGAGGAACAGGTGCACAAAGGGGCTGGGGGGGCAAAGAGGCACACAGAAGGCTTCAGGATAAACAAACACATAAAAGGGTTTTGGTGGGGAAAAGCTATACCAAGGGGAAGTGGAAAAAGGCACACAAAGGGGTTGGGGCAGAAAAAAAAAGCCTGCTGGGAAAAAAAAGAGGCCTAACAGCAGCAGCCAGTCGGCCAGCCACAGTAGCTAGCCTGCCTGTTAACCAGCCACAGCAGCCTGCCAGCCGGCCACAGCAACTAGCAAGCCTGCTAGCCGGCCACAGCATCCAGCCTGCTAGCCCGCTACAGCAGCCAACCTGCTCCTGGAGCAACCTGCCAGTCACAGCAGCCAGCAGCAGTAATTAAGGTGCGAAGAGCCAACTAGGGATGGATATCAGAGAGCTATGTTATATTACTATATTGTGAATTGGGGCCAGAGTGTTTCTTTTTCTAACATACAGTTTACAAATGTGTGCATTGAATATTCTTGAAAACATTTTTAAAAAGTGTGGGTGTATTTTACATTTTAAAGTTGGGGGTGGGGGTGCCATATACAGGCCCAGAGTGCCAAATGCTTTAGGTACATCCCTGTCCAAAATTCTTCTATATGCAGAAGCTTTGGGTGGGGCACTGCACCTGCGAAGAAATCTTATCTCCTTTTATAAATGCGTTAGAATAATGTATCTCTTTAGGGAGTGCACATCTGCCCTGCAAACAATAGAACACTGTTAGAAGGAAGCAGTATAATTGCTCAGAAATGTAAACAGGCTGTTTGAACCAAAACCGTTCCATAGTTCCATAGTTACATAGCTGAAAAGAGACTTGCGTCCATCAAGTTCAGCCTTCCTCACATATGTTTTTGCTGTTGATCCAAAAGATGGCAAAAAACCCAGTCTGAAGCGCTTCCAATTTTGCTACATTATGCTATAGTTGTTCTGTTGACTAGAGTGCCCATCTAATAGTCATCAATGTATAAGATGCTCTTTTCATTACTTTTTTGATACTATAGTATATAATAAAAAAAAAAAGTGTAAAATAGTAAAAGGAAAAAATACATGTTAGTTATCTGGCAAACATAATATTCAGTGAACCATTTAAACATTATTAAAACAGCCAGGTATAAATATATGACAGACAACTCCCTCAAAACAAGACCAAAAAGACATACGGGATCAGCATAGAACAACCACTATAAAGTCATTTTTCAGTGTTAATCTACACAATATATATATATAATATATATATATATATATATATATATATATATATATACACACACACACACACACACACACATACACATACACACACATACATACATATATATAAAACAATTTGACTTGCTAATAAAACAGTCTTCGTAACTATGGAGGACAATAAAAAATAAATAATAATAATAATAAAGTTTGACTCGTAGTTGTCTTTCTCTGATATCTTAATAAATTGTGAATACGTATTTTTTAACTTTATTGTCATACATCCACAGCAATTGGGATAGGCGCAGTGAAGGAACAGGACAGAATTGCTAAACAGCACTGCCGTAACACTACAAAATAAATTGTACAATTGGTCCTAGGTGCACAAAAACCCTGCTAACATATGACATTTGGCAGTAATTGCACAGAAGAAGGAGCAGAAATAGTTCTTGTTGCAGATACTATTATGGGTTAAAATAATGCAAAATGTTGTCACCTGCAGCGATATCTAAGAACATCAAAACCAGGCAGATGTAGACTTTCATCTTGTCAGTTGGATCGGTCAGGCAATGAGTAAAGCTAGTCTGAAAGCACACAATTTATATAGCAGCTGGAAGACACTCCTCCCTACACAATGTCTGTCACTGAGATTGACAGGTACTTCAACAGTTTAAAGGTGATGTGAAACTAGTATGTCCAACCACTTCTGAAAAACGCCAACCTAACTGAACTCCATCCAAACAGCCCAAAATGCCTTTAAAAAGTCCTTGAAATTGCTCTACATATTAAAGATTTTTTAAGAACATCAACAATTGTCCTAATAAGAAATATTAGAATGAACCATTAACAATATTAATTTAATTAAAATAATACACTTATGCACCGCAAATTTCTTTCATTTTATGATAATTGCCATCTATTCAAATTAAAGGAACACTATAGTCACCAAAACATCTTTAGTTTAATGAAGCAGTTTTGGTGAATAGCTCATGCCCTTGCAGCCTCACTGCTCAATTATCTGCCATTTAGGAGTTAATTCCCTTTATTTCTGCAGCCCTAGTTACACCTTCCTGCATGTGACTTGTGCAGTCTTCCTAAACACTTCCTGTAAAGAGTCATCTAATGTTTACACTTCGTTTAATGCAAATTCTGTTTAATTTAGTATTTCTTACCTCCAGATCTGTTAATAGCTTGCTAGATCCTGCAGAAGCCTACTGTATGTGAATAAAGCTCAATATACAGAGCAGGAGATAAAAACTTTTAAAGTAAGTTACATCTGAAACCATTGAAAGTGAAACCATTTTTTTTTCCATGCAAACTGTCAGTCACAGCCAGGGGAGGTGTGGCTAGGGATGCATAAACAGTAACAAAAGTGATGTATCTCCTAAATGGCAGTGAATTAAGCAAATGTAAAAGACAAACAAGGGCTGCACCACATGAACTAGGATACAATAAAGTAAAATATATTAAAATAAAATTAAAATGAAAAATAAAATAGAATAAAATAAATAAATACTGTGAGTCTTTTTCCAAATGTGAAAATTGTTACATATAAGATTGTCTCTTATTCAGAAGGTAGGTTCAACTGTGGTTCCTAGGTTCTTTGTACTTGGGGGTCTTGTTGTCTTTAATCTCTGTATGTGGGAAGAGACAGAATAACCTAATAGTGCAGTAAGGCAGGGCTAAATAGGCCTGTCATTAGTAATAATAGTATTGCACTCACATTTGAGAGAGCTATAGCCAGCTCTAGTATGAATCGCCTGTAGTGGTATAATCCCCACTATTTGGGATATGGTGGTGGTAGGTCTTGACTGGTAGCTGTCTAGATGCTCGGAGGAGAGATACAAATAGCCACAGATAGTGCTCCTAGTAAGACAATGATAATTGTATTGAATATAAAAATTGTACTTAAAGACGTAGAGAAGGCTCACTGCTCTGTGGTGACACTGTTGGTGGTATAATCCCTATTCATTAAGCTAACATTGTTTTGGTGACTTTAGTGTCCCTTAAAATTACTTCTGCTCTCCCCTTTTAAAATGCCATTAAAGGGACACTATAGTCACCTGAACAACTTTAGCTTAATGAAGCAGTTTTGGTGTATAGAACATGCCCCTGCAGCCTCACTGCTCAATCCTCTGCCATTTAGGAGTTAAATCCCTTTGTTTATGAACCCTAGTCACACCTCCCTGCATGTGACTTGCACATCCTTCCATAAACACTTCCTGTAAAGAGAGCCCTATTTAGGCTTTCTTTATTGCAAGTTCTGTTTAATTAAGATTTTCTTATCCCCTGCTATGTTAATAGCTTGCTAGACCCTGCAAGAGCCTCCTGATTGTGATTAAGTTCAATTTAGAGATTGAGATACAATTATTTAAGGTAAATTACATCTGTTTGAAAGTGAAACCAGTTTTTTTTTTTCTTCATGCAGGCTCTGTCAATCATAGCCAGGGGAGGTGTGGCTAGGGCTGCATAAACAGAAACAAAGTGATTTAACTCCTAAATGACAGTGAATTGAGCAGTGAAATTGCAGGGGAATGATCTATACACTAAAACAGCTTTATTTAGCTAAAGTAATTTAGGTGACTATAGTGTTCCTTTAATTGTAAAGGTTTTGCCCTGTCTATTCATTGGTGCAGAGTCATTAAAAAAAAAAAAAATTCTTTAACCCCTTCCCGACCAAAGACGGAAATTTTCCAACAAGCTTGTCCTTGCGTTAATGACCCTTGACGGAACATTCCGTCATTT